GCTAGTCACTAGCCTCGCCAATGATGCCTGCTTCTCCACGCTAGTCACTAGCCTCGCCAATGATGCCTGCTTCTCTAAGCTAGTCACTAGCCTCGCCAATGATGCCTGCTTCTCCACGCTAGTCACTAGCCTATCCAATGATGCCTGCTTCTCCACGCTAGTCACTAGCCTCTCCAATGATGCCTGCTTCTCCACGCTAGTCACTAGCCTCTCCAATGATGCCTGCTTCTCCACGCTAGTCACTAGCCTCTCTGATAATGCCTGCTTCTCCACGCTAGTCACTAGCCTCTCCAATGATGCCTGCTTCTCCACACTAGTCACTAGCCTCTCCAATGATGCCAGCTTGTCCATGCTAGTCGCTAGCCTCTTTGATGATGCCATCTTATTCATGCTAGTCGCTAGCCTCTTTAATGCTAATGCAAATGAATAATCGTCTCCTTTGCCAGTGCCAGCCTCTCAGTTACTAAAAGCGTATAAGAGAACAACACAGGCCTGCAGACTGACTGCAAACTGAAAAATTCTGTGAAGAAGTGTCAAAAAGGTGCTTTCGGTGATTTCATACTGACAGCTAAAACGGACTGACAAATGAAAWTCAGTTTTTACTGATTGCTTTGACCTGTTTGAAGAAACTGGGAACCTCTCAGTCTTCCTCATCACCATCTCAAAAACAATCAATAAAACCTATATTCCAACAGAGGAGAATATGTGGAAATAAATGGTGGCCTATCATTAATCAGATTAATAGTTGGTTTAGGAATAGATATAGCCTCCTGCTATAAGGATGTAGTGAACTCTGGTTGCCCAATAGTCCTAATTTAGGCCCTCATACAGCGCCATAGAATTTAAGTGTTAAAACATGCCTAGAAGACAAATGGTGCTAAATTCAAACGCAACACAGGTTTTGGTGAGTTCGAGGCCAGAAGGTGAACTAAACAGACAAAAATAAAGTTTTCTGTCATAAAACCCATCTGCACAGTCAGATGATGGTTCTTTTCAGTTTTAGCTCCAGAGTCAGCTCCTTTTACTTCACAGTAATATTAATTTAATATTTCTTATATTAAAAGAAAACAGATGTTAAGTTTTTACTCACTCATGTTTTTGGTGACATTAAAACACTCTTCTGTTGCTTTAGTTAAAAACAACCCTCAGAACCACAGACAGCACCGTCTCCTGTCCAACGAGGCTGACTTTATGTCCAACCAGACTTTAGATCTTAAATAAAAACCTGCTCTGAGCGGCGAGTTTAATGTTACAGACATGATCCGTCGAGTTGAAGGCAGTTTGACACAACAGAGGTCCTGATTTTCTTTTAGAGGCTTAAATCCAGCACTTAAAGCACTACATTGGGACAGATTCAGACCCAGATCAAACATACTGACACACACACACACGCACACACACACACCGTACACAAAGGACAAATCGGCATTATTTACAGAAAACCCAGCTCTCTCATTTTTAGTTTTCAGTGCACGTTGACTGCAAACGTCCCTAGATTTATCTTCAGCTGGATCTTTCTCTGCAGTCTGTATTAGTTTAACTCTTTCAGTCTGAAGTTAGAGCTTTTAAACCAACTGAAACCACCAGCAGGAGCTGAATATTACTCTGGGGGGCCTGCAGCAGGTTCAGACAGGGTCCTGAAGACGTTGAGGATAAAACCCAGCAGAGCGTCTCTCAGCTGCAGCACAGCTGCTCTGAGACCAGCAGGCTGTCGTAGCCATAGATTTCCAGCAGGTGGAGCAGAAAGAGCCGGTCCCCGTGTGGGTCCAGACCCATGGCCCTCACGCTCTCCTGAGTGATGGTGGGGTCTGAGCTTCCTGCCACCTCGCTCAGAGTCTGGAAAATCCTGTTGTTCTGCTCCAGGAAGAACCTTGGGGAAAGAAAAGACCAAAAAAAAAAACCTCTTTACCTCGATCAAATCCATAGATGCTGAGCTAAAAGTTGSTGTGCTGGTCGCTGAGAGGCACAAGGTCTTTATTTCAAACCTTTTCTGTACATTAAAGTGGCTGTGACGTCAAATGTTTGTAATACATATGAATGCATTTTTAGAAAGAGGACATTGATAAAATATTGCAAAAGAAATTTCACGTCACTGAGATGAACAGTTGTTGAGATATTTGCCTGTGAAGTAACAGGAAGTGATGTCAGAGAGGAATATCTGCATGTAAACAGAGTGTTGCTACAACAGCTAACAACCCAGACTGTAGAGAAGAATCTGATGTTTCTTTAGATTATTTTGAGTCACTATCAGAAGATGAAAAAGAGTCAGAGTTCAAATAATATTGTTTCAATAAACAAAGACCAGAGAGTTTTCTTTGTTAAAGAGTTCCCCTTTGATGTCACTTCCTGTTTCACTTTGGCAGAGCCAAGTTCAAAAGAAAATATGTTAGTTAAGRGGCAAAATGGGTAAAATTGTGTGTATTATTCCAACTTTCTTAAAGAAAAAGATGTTTTCTTTGASGTTTTGTATTTGAAGAACATGCATGTCACAGGTACTTTAAATCTGTACTTACAAAATAAAGAGGTCCTCCTCACTGGACACACAGTCTCCATTCTCCTCCTGGGAATACAGCAACATCTGCCTACGCACACACATAAAATTTTAAAGTTAATTCTGCAAACTTTTTCTCAGTTTCTAGTTATTTCAGGTAAAAAGCCTCCAGCTGACAGTCCTCCACCTCTGCTCGGTGAGCTTGCGGTACTTCTCTCTGTCTGCGGCGCTGAGGCGGAGCAGAGGCTTCAGGCCGTCCCTGTACGTCTTCACGTTCTGGTTGTCGACGTAAACGTCGTACAGGTCCTTCTTCTCCTCGAAGATCTTCTCAGTCGTGCCTAAAGGTGCGGGGCGGCAGGCGGAGCTGCTGTTCAGACTGATAAAACATTTATTTTTGTTGGAAAAAACGCTTCAGACGACCTCTCACATGCCACGTAGGACAGCTCGTTCTCCAGGACGCCGATGTCGGCGACATTGACGTAGAAGAAGGGTCTGAACTCGGGCACGGCCATGCCCACCCCGGGGATGGAGACGTTAGCCAGGCAGCAGCAGCAGTACACTGGTGGGAGCAGACGATGCTGTTTGGTATTAAATGTTTGAGCTGTTTGTGAGTGAATGCGGCGCTCTGGTACCTCTGTAGCAGACCACGCCCACAGGTGGGGGAGAGAAGATGAGGATGCGCCGGCGGAGCAGCGCCAGTTTCCAGAGAACCATGATCTGCTCCCCAAAGAAGCGGATGAACTGAGACATGCAGCCTGCAGGATGGGTGATCTGCTCCAGATACAGACGGTTTTATCACCAGAGTGAGTAAAACTAAACAAACACCTCCTCTGATTAAACATAAGATCATCTCAGATGTTCTCACCTTCATTTCAGGGTGCATGCTGTGGTTAATGGCAGCTCCCCATGCATTGGAGGGTAATGCAGTAACAACACTCTCTCCACTGGGGGGCAGCAGAGCTCGCTTGTCCTCATAGAAGGCCTCCAGGGGGGAATAGTGTCCAGGGGACTGAAGCTGGAGCCTGGAGGAAGACGAAGGAGGAGGAGAAACCACAGAGATGCAAAAACAAAAAGGTTTGAAAGTTTTAATAATAAACCATAAGACTATTTTAATTTACATTCATGTTTTGCCCCAAAGGAAGTACTTTAAAAATATTAAAACAATCACTGAAGGTTCTTTTGTGAACAATTATCACTTGTGCAGTTTAATTTTTATGGCGGTGTGAGGGCCTAAATTAAGACTATTGCATAACCAGCGGCTGTGACATCCTTATAGCAGGAGGCTGTACCTACTATAAATAAATTTTTACTTATTTACTACTATTAAGCCAGCTGATTGATCTGATTAATTATAGGCTGGCACTGCTAACTGAGCAGCTGGCCACGCTAAATGAGAGGCCGGTGCTGGCAATTGAGTCTATTCATTTGTGTTAGCATTGGAGAGGCTAGTGACTAGCATGGATAAGCTGGTGTTAGCATTGGAGAGGCTAGTGACTAGCATGGATAAGCTGGTGATAGCATCGGAGAGGCTAGCAAGTAGCATAGATAAGCTGGTATTAGCATTGGAGAAGCTAGCGACTAGCATGGATAAGCTGTGATAGCATCGGAGAGGCTAGCAAGTAGCATAGATAAGCTGTGTTAGCATTGGAGAGGCTAGCGACTAGCATGGATAAGCTGGTGTTAGCATTGGAGAGGCTAGTGACTAGCATGGATAAGCTGGCTGGTGTTAGCATTGGAGAGGCTAGCGACTAGCATGGATAAGCTGGTGTTAGCACTGGAGAGGCTAGCAACTAGCATGGATAAGTTTGTGTTAGCATTGGAGAGGCTAGCAAGTAGCATAGATAAGCTGGTGTTAGCATTGGAGAGGCTAGCAAGTAGNGATAAGCTGGTGTTAGCATTGGAGAGGCTAGCAAGTAGTATGGATAAGCTGGTGTTAGCATTGGAGAGGCTAGCAAGTAGCATAGATAAGCTGATGTTAGCATTGGAGGGGCTAGCAAGTAGCATGGATAACCTGGCATTAGCATTGGGGAGGCTAGCGACTAGCATGGATAAGCTGGCATTAGCAYTGWAGAGGCTAGCGACTAGCATGGATAAGCTGGCATTAGCAATGGCAAGACTAGCGACTAGCATGGATAAGCTAATTATAGCATTGGAGAGCTAGCAAGTAGCATGAATAAGCTGTGTTAGCATTGGAGAGGCTAGCGAGTAGCATGTATAAGCTGGTGTTAGCATCAGAGAGGCTATAGCGACTAACATGGATAGGCTGGCATTAACATTGGAGAGGATTGGGAGTAGTATGGATAGGTTGGTGTTAGCATTGGAGAGGCTAGTGACTAGCATTTGAATACAGAAAAAATTCTCAAATAACATGGTTGACATACAAATCCATAAGCGACGAGCACTGACAGGTGCTCCAGAATTTACTGTTCAACATGACGTCAAGCATAAATATTAAACATAAAACATATTACTGTGAAGCAGACAGCTTTAGTTACCACCTGAATTAGCAGCTGTGTTTGCACTTGTTTGTTGATCAATGGTGTTATTTTTCTCTCTTTAGCCAAATTATGAGAAAAAACAGAACTGTCAAGTTGGGGCTTTTTAGAGAAAGTTTAATTCATAGTGAAAGTTTATTTATTGAAAACAATTTGTGTCTAATAAAGTAGATGAGCAGCCAAGGCTCCGTGAAGCAGAAACAAAACATTTGATTTTAAAACACATTTAAAGATCTGAACTGTCTCTTTTGTTTGTATTAAATCAGGTTTAAAGCACTTTTTAGGATATGGAATTAAATCATCAAACATCAAAGCCTGAAACTTGAAAAACGTGAAACATTTATGTAAATTATCTTTACTAACGTATTTTCTAGTTTTGAATAACTGCATGACTATATAAAGCTGTTTTTGTAGACTTTTTATTTTTTATTTTTAATAAGCTTGGAGCTGGTTTGAGTTTTTAGGTTGCAATAATTCCAACACATTTTCATTCTTTTCTGTTTTTTTTTTTATTTTTATTTTTTATAGTAATGGCTTCAGCTGCCGGGAGAAAAACAATATAATAAGGTCTAAACGAGGAAGAGGAGCAGCAGGGGAAATGAAGAAATTCCTGCAGACTTTAATCTCCTTGTGAACAACAGCTGCTCTTCATGCAGGAACCTTGGGCTGCGAGGGAACGCTGCAGGACTGCAGGCCGGACTGTGGGAGCTGTGCAGACAGAGCTGACTCAACATGCTCTGCAGTCCCACACAGAGGGACACCTGGTCGCTCTGACACAGTCGTGTGRCACGACTTGTGACAGAAAACTGAAGCACAAAGACTGGCAAACAACGCCACGGGGAGGAAATATATCTGAAGAAAATGAAAGTGTTGATTCGTCTAACAGCTGAGCGTTAAAGCTTCTCTGCAGCTTCCAACACTTAGAGGGTCTAYGGCTAAGATTTAAATTAAATATCACCACTCTGCATTTGTTAAGCAATGCAGAAAGAGGAATAAATACATGCTTTTAGCCTCAAACCATCCACGTTCAGCTGCTGTGTGTTCAGACTGAGACCAGCAGCTGCTGTTGGATTCATTTTAACTACAGCATTACTGATGTTAGCTTTAGCATCAGCTCTGGTCATTTTAGCTACTGCTTTGCTGCTTTTAGTTACTGTGTTTGGATCATTTTAGCTGTAGCATGTACAACGTTAACAACTGTTTTGCTAATGACATAATGTTTGCTGGTTTTAGCTTTAGCTTCTTTTGGTTAATTTTAAGCTGCTGTTGAGCTAAATTTCTTTTTAGCATCTGTTTAGCTACTGTACTGCTGCTATTGGCTTAATTTCTACTTATTTGAGCTTCTGTTCTGCTACTTTTACTTTGTGTTCTTACTTTAGCTTATGTGCTGTTTATTTTGGCTTATGTTCTACTCTATTTAGATTGTGTTCTGCTGATTCTCTGCAACAGCCTATTTTAGCTTATTTTATCTTACTTTTAGCTTGTGTTCTGCTTATTTTAGCTGATTCTCCGCAACTTTAACCTTCTGCATATTTTTAGCCTATTTTCTCCTACTTTTAGCTTGTGTTCTGCTTATTTCGGCTCATGTTCTGCTGCTCAGCTTGTGGTCGTCCTATTTTAGTCAATGTGCTGCTCAAGTGTGTACTGCAGCTTTTAGTTTATGTTCTGCATATTTAACCTGTTTTCCGCAACTTTTAGCTTCTGTGCTGCTTATTTTGGCTTATGTTCTGCTCAATTTAGCATTTTTCTGTTACTTTTAGCTTATGTTATTCTTATTTTAGCTTGTGTCTATATGTTGGCTTATGTTCTGCTAATTTTAGCTCATGTGCTACTGATTTTGGCTAATGTCCTGCTCAATTTAATATATGTACTGCAGCTTTTAGCTTACGTTATGCTTATTTTAACTTATGCTCTGCTACTTTAGTTAGTGTACTGCTGTTTGTGGATGATGCTCTGCAACTTTTCACTTCTGCTTTTTTTAGTTGTTTTGTTACTTTTAGATTGTTATTCATGTTTTAGCTTGTGTCCTGCTTTTAATGGCTTATGTGCTGCTCATTTTAGCATTTTTGCATTTAGCTTATTGTAGCTGATTCTCTGCATTTTTTTACTTCCACCTATAGTAGCTTATGTTCTGCTACTTTAGCTTGTTATGCTCATTTCAGCCTGYGTTTTGCTCACTTCAGCTTCTGTTGTGCTTGTTTTAAGCTTCTTCTGCACATTTTGGTTGTTCATCACTTTGTCTAGGTTTTGTTCAACCAGTGTTTTTATTCTGATGGTGAACAACGACCAGGTTTGAAATAGAAACAACAAAAAGCTGCAGCTCAGATCCAGATGTTTGTTAAAACTCTGCAGGTCTTTTCACCTGACTTGATGCTCCAGGAAGCTCATGTAGCGGTAGAGCAGGGTGTAGGAAGGGGACAGGATCCCGACCGACTTCATCCTCGCCCCCCTCTCCTCCGTGCTCTCCACRGCCATGTTGGCAAAGCAAGCGAGGCCGAAGAAGCAGCCCTTCCTGAAGTAGCTGTGGAAAGTGGAGGAGAGAGGAAACATGAGAGGCTGTGAGTCATGGAAAGCAAAAGGAACAACCAGAAGCACCTGCTTCTTTTCTTTTCTTTCTTTTACCAGGCAACACATTGTCCAGATTAAGAGATGTGGCTGTGTGCTTGGTTGAGTATAAAGTTTAAACGTCTACTTGGTGCATCGTAAACACAAACACTAACATGAAGTCCGTCGTGACTCGGTGGGAGCCGCTGGCAATGGCTTTGAACTCTACTCCCTCCAGGTCCATGTCTTTRGGCAGACACCACTCCAACATGTTTCCTATCACACACACAAAAAACAAATGGTTCAAATAAGAGACAGTACGTATATCATCACTGTTGTGTTATGATAAACTAACTATAACACAGGCCACCTCAATCCTTTGGAATCCATTGTGTTTGTGTTGGCTGCCGACACCTGAGCTGCGAGCTGAGCAAACATGGTGTGGCAGGTACAAACAGGTGACTCAGCGAGTTCAGCGTTCAATCTTATCACAAGATACATGTATCAGTGGAGTTTCAGCAGAAATGTGAACTGATCTAAGCAGTAAAAGCAGAGGGGGTGCACATAGGAGCCATTTTGATATTTGATTCTGACAGCAAGTCCAATCACACGCTAAAGATGTTTTGTAAAATTTTACAGACATCTTCTAGTAAAGTGAAAACAATTCTACCATAAACAGGGAAAAATCCACTCCCGGGGTCTGACTCCTGGTTGCCTTGGTTGGCCCGCTGGCCGGGGGGCTGCCGGAGTCCGGTGGGTGGTCGTTTGGGGGTGTACGCTTGCTGTTGGCAGTGTGTGGGGGTGGTTGGGGGCATGGCTTCAGTGTGGTGGGAGGGCTGACCGGTCGGCCTGGTGCGATCCAGGTTGGACCTTGGCTGTCTGCTCCTCTCCACCCCAGAATGAATGGGTCTACCTCCTGGGTCTGGATGTGGGCTGCCCTCTGTTGGGGGCGGGTGCATGTCCTGGACCTGGGGGGTTTAGAGTATGCACAGGGAGTGTGATGGGAGTATTGCATCCATCTTATGTGTCTTTGAATGAGTGGGTGTGAGGATGAGGGTGGGTTTGTGTGATTGTGTCTGTGTATGATTGGATATTTGTCAGGCTGGGTCTTGGGTTACCCCCTCCTCTGGTTCACCTGGGGGCCCAGTGCTGGTGGTGGGCTATGTCCCCCTGCCCACTCTGCCCTCTGGTGGGTTGTGCCTTTGCCCGCTGGTGYGCTGGTGGCCCTCGGTGWCTGGGGCTGGGCGCTCGTGCGTGTGCCGTCTCGGCCCGGTGGCTGCCTGGTGGGGCTTGGGTCCTCTTGCCGTATCGGGCCTTGGCCTGTGGGTGGTGCGCCATGGGCCCCAGGCCTATGTGTCCATGCCTGAATCTGCTCCGGCGCGGCGGGTGCCAGCAGGGCCTGTGAGCTCGCTGCTGTCGACACCGGGGGATTACTGCGTGGGGTCACTGGGGCTCTCCTGGATCTCTCCTTTGGTCCACTTTGGGGGGGTGGGGGGTGGGGGGGGGCTTTTTCTGCACTGGTGCCGCTGGGGTTCCGCGCTTGGAGTCACTCTCTGGGTCTTTGGCTCTGGTCTTCTTTATGTCTGCTTCAGGTCTTGGAGGTCGGGTCTTTGGGTCTCCACAGTCACTATTAAATATTCCATTGGAAAAATCTTGTATACATGCATGTACACGGCCACACACAAGCTGGTGTTCAGATTCTGGGGTTTTTGAGGGTCATTGAGGGTGTATGTAAGTATAGATGTGGATATGTATATGTATATGTATGCATGTGTGTATGTATACAGTATGTATATATGGGTATGTATGTACATATTTCAGCAAAGTTATAATTTGAAACATGTTATTTATTGCTGTGTTTTTGTTTTCTCTGTGCATGTGTGCAGACAGATGTCGGGTGTGTTGTCTTGGTTTATATTTGACATTTCTAATCTCTCTTTYAATCTTCTCTTTCTTCTCTTCTATTAAAAAAAGTCACTGATGATGAAGAAACTAAACTAACATTCTGTTAGTTTTCTACTGAAGTGGCTTAAAAAAAGAAATGTGAACTGATCTGTAAAGGCAGAGGGGGTGCACATAGGAGTCATTTTAATAATTGATTCTGACAGCAAGTCTAATCACATGCTAAAGACGTTTYGTAAAATTTTACGGACATCTTCTAGTAAAGTGAAAACAATTCTACAATAAACAGGGAAAAGTCCATGTTCCCATACTGCTTGAGAAGATTGGCTAACTTATAAACAAACTAAAAAAAATCTCAGGGTTTAGGGTAGCGTTTTTGTAAGGAAGTAACATTTTGACTTTTTGGACGCCATGTTTGTCTGAATTGAGATCATTTCATTTTGTGTCATTTTACACGACTTATGTTGTATTTTTGGTCAACAGTAAGTGGTATTTTTAGTCATCATGGACAACTTACTATAGTGTGGTATTTTTAGTCATTTGGGGGGACTTACTATTGTATATATATATTTTTTGGTCATCAAATGTAGTAAGACATTCTTAATGTGTTTTTTTCAACGGTGCTGCTACTCATTGGCATTTTTATATCTAGTCAATCTGTAAACACCTTAAGAGCCATACTAGGATCACCTGTCAGTAAAACAGTGAAAAGGAGTAAAAATTGAAAGCTGATAAACTGGTAGTTGTAAACACTCTGGTTGTTTTGATTCCTGATTATGGTGAAAATGTTTCTGTTTAACCAAACTGGTGGTTTAGTAGGCTGTTGGAGCACGAAGGATCAAAGGTTCRTGAGCTCAAACTTCACAACCAATTTGATTTCTTCTCTTTAACCCACGTTATTGGCTAAACTCAGGGAAGTTGCATTTGTCTGAGAGCTGGTAGGTAGTCCAGTGGGTTAGAMCTTTAACTGTTGGATCAGAGGTTCATGAGTTCAAATCCCAGCATCAACTCTGGTAACACAGTTTTGAAAGACTTCTCTTCTACTCAGGTAACTTACTAAACTTAGGGAAGTTAAACCTCYACATGAGTGCTGGCAGGTAGCCCAGTGGGTTTGTCCCATTGCTGCTGATGCATGATTGATCTGGGTGCAGGGTTCAAATCCCAGAGGAAAACTTAGCTCCTCAATGAGTGTCTGAGAGAGAAACA